GCCCCGCCTCGCCAACGTTCAAACCCGTCCCGCACCCGCACCGCCCCATTGCCATCCCTACACTCAACTGACTGAAACTTATTGCATATACTATGCTGACTGTGCGTTGGGGAATGAGCTACATGTTTGCTGCATGCTTCTTGTGTAAAAGAGAGTGTTGTAAGCTAATTTAATTTGCATTGTGGTTAAGGGATTTTCCTTGAGATCATCTGAATGCTTGATGCATACTTGTTCTGTGGGCGATACTAGCTACCTATTCTATTGAGACATAGGAGCTTTAGGAAACCAGTTTATACAAATTTTGGGCGGCAGCTGGAAACTGCCTTCGTAGTTATGCTTGCTTTCATGAAAGGGAAAAAGGATTACAGTGTCAGTGCTAATGCTGTCAAACATTGCTTGGTGACTAGGTCATGACGTGAGATATCCTTTTCATTTAAATTGTTGTAACATCTCCTTTTCTAGAACTTGTGGAGAATGACATCGAGGCCCATTATTCAAGTATAATTTGATTCTGCCCTCTAGATGAATAATTTACATTTATCTTTTCCTATAGAACATTGTTTATTCCTAAAGTTTTTGTCAAGCCGTGACAATAGCATTTTTTGTTGTATAGTTGATGGATATCAATGAAAGTCCTGTGTACGTTCTTCTCAATCCTTCTATCAGTCGTGCACAGAAGGACTTGCCAATCACTATCTATGAAAGTGGTGCGTATAAATTTTATTTGTCATGTTACAGGTGCTCTATGATTAAACATCCTTTTTCTTTTGTGCTTGCTTTTGAAGAAAACAGAAAGTGAAAGTAAACAGTTAAATTTTGTTTGCACAAATTAGTCTTATATTTCCGGGTAGAAGATAACATATTTATACAGAGCCTTCCACCGCGGCCCTCATTTTTGTTCAAACATTTTTTAATGATTTGGGGTTTATGCCTTGTGCGAGAGACCATGAATAAATTTTGCAGAAATTCCAGCTTGAACATCTTCTTGTGTCCATATTTAGTTCCTCCCCGAGCTACAGATGCAATGAGAAATGACGTTTTCTTTTTTGGTTTTGGAACTATTTAATGATATTCAAAGAATTGCACGTCATTGATGGCATCCCACAGCTTATTTTTGTCCAAGCAAGCTACACAATAGAGGTATCTCCCTATTCATTTATCTTGTCATCTTTTCCACAAGTTATTGGGAGCATCTAACAAATTCTTTTCTCACTTGCAATACCTGACTGCTTACTAGACGGTTGAAGCTGAACGGATTTCTGTTGATCATGTTGCACATCTTAAACAATCTGATGGAGGCTCTGCTGCAACTCAGTGTAAGCACCTTTAACTTCATTTGTATTCTCAAGACAAGCGTTTACTGATTTTTTAGTGGCGCCCTAATCTTTTAGTGGCATGGTTTGCTTATTGTTTAACTTTGAGTTCTATTTGTGCAGTGGCTGCCCACCTTACCGGCACACATAGTGCCATCAAGATGCTGAACAGCAGAATTAGAGTGCTGCAACATTATCTTCTTTCTATGCAAAAAGGTAACCGGTTTTGCTAGAAGTTGAAACTGCATTCTGATTGGTCGAAGAAGCTCCTTATAATGGAAAGGATGCTTCTGAATTTACTGGGAGAGGCTCACCAGGAAATAAATTTTTTAGTGTAAATGGATACAAGCTAACACACATATTTTGCATCTGAATATCTATGATGCTTAGATAGCCTCATGAACTATCCATTCAGCATTTTAGCCTCCTGAACTAGTCAAGCAGCGTGAAACTGATTTTGGAGAATTTTAATCTCACAAACTTCTTTGACAATTAACATGGAAATGGATCATAAGTTTTTTTCATGGGGCAGAGGCTCTAGAATTTTAATGTTTTTCCTGCTGCGAATGTAGGTGAAATTCCTTGTGAGAATTCATTGCTCAGGCAGGTCTCTAGTCTTTTAAGAAGATTACCAACAATTGAGTCGGAGAGATTTCGAGATGATTTCTTGATGGTAGGTGTTCTTTGAGCTTGTTATTGGAGTTGACCTGTTTAAAGTAAATGTAGCCTTTTTCCTTGGGATGTTTCTTTATTTGCAGGATATTTTTTAAGGAGTTTTCTAATAAGACCTTCGTCAGCTTCAAATAGTTACTAGTGTAATTCTGATGTTGAGTGAAAATTGCTAACTAGAAACTTTCATATTTGTTTTAGGTGTGCCAATCAGCTTTTGCCACTTTCTGATTCTATTGTTTTATTTCTCTTTTCTTATGTGCAGGAATATAATGACACATTGTTAGTTAGTTACCTGGCCATGTTCACCAACTGCTCTAGGTATGATGTCTAATGCTTCTTGCACTAATGCTTTTGTTATTTGTAAAAGTAGTTTCTTACATCTTCTTCCATTTTCTCCTTTTCGCTTTTCATTGATGAAGAACTATCCAAGATTATGTAGATAATAGGGCCAAAACTCAGATAAAAATGGTTTTTGCTGAAGTGTGATTATCTTAGAGAAGGTACAAACACTAGGTGATTTCTACCCATATGTTCAAGCCTTGATGAATAGAGTTACCCGATACATGTGCTAGCGGGAGGTAGCAGATACTCGTGGAATTAGTCAAGGTGTGCACAATCTGATCCGGACATCACTGTTATGAATAAAAAGTTGAGGTGCACTGTGGGTGTGATTCTTTCATTCTTAGTCTTGACTTGGCCCCTTGCGGAAATATGGGCTGCAGAATAGACGTGTGGTTAACTAAAGATGGTATCGTTAATGTTTTTTTTGTTTGGGATAAGTGGTATCTGTTAAGGTAGGTTTCCGCTTTATTGTGGAAATATTCATGAGACTGTTAGGAGTAGGGGTGGCAAAATGGTTAAAAGAAAACAGTTAACACCCATATTATCCACTAAAAAATGGGTTGGATACTGAACTTTTTAAAAAAGGGTCAAATATGTATAAGAACCATATTATCCATTGAGAAAATGGATAACCACTAGGTCTAACTTTTACATTTGTAAAGTCTCAAATTGGGGGTTCTTTAAGTTAGGGAGACTAATAGCCTGTTTGGCCAAGCTTCTTTTTGGCCAAAAGTGCTTTTTTTTGGGCCAAAAATTGAGGTGTTTGACCAAGCTTTTGGAAGGAAAAAAAGTGTTTTTGAGGAGAAGCAGAAGCAGTTTCGGAGAAGCAGAAAAAAGTAGCTTCTCTCCCAAAACACTTTTTTGAGAAGCACTTTTGAGAAAAATACACTTAGAAGCAGTTTTCTAAAGCTTGGCCAAACACTAATTGCTGCTCAGAAGTGCTTTTCAAACTAATTAGCCAAACACAAACTGCTTCTAACCAAAAGTACTTTTGAGAAAAGCACTTTTGAAAAAAAGCACTTCTCAAAATAAGCTGATTTTTGCAGCTTGGCCAAACGGGCTATAAGAATTCTCACAAAAGTGATCATATGCAAGAAGTCAGGGATAATATGATTACCCATATTATCTGTCGGTTAACTCGTTTTTTATCCGTATTAAATATGGATCGGGTCGGATAATTTATCCGTTTTTTCATTTTCGACCCGAACCATATTCGACCCGTCCGTTTGCCACTCATAGTCAGGAGTGTTTAACAAGTGGCTCCCTAAAAACATATATGGAAATTCAGACTATTTTTTATTTATCTCTACCCTGGAAGTACACCTGTACTTTTCTAAAGTCATTATATGTTCCTAACTTAAGAATTTGGGAGAACATTTGTTTTTCAAAGAAAAAAAAAGTTGGTGATCATTCGTGTTTGGATGATTTTGTGCTATTTAACAGTTCATCTCTTGAATGAGTTCTTCACATCTTGGGCTGTCTAGCAAACGCAGCATCTGTGAATTTTATATATATATATATATAAAAGCTTAGAGCAGCATAAGCTGGTAGGGGCTTTGTAAATTATATTTATCGACAAGCGGGAGAAACAGTTCCTTTTGCCATATCTCTCTTTTTTTTGTTGTTTAAATCCTGTTTACTAGAGTCAAGAATAATGGATCTAATATTTTTCTTTTTTCTTGGTTGCAGTACAATGAACGAGTTGGTTGACAAATTCAACACTGCATATGAGCGGCATAGTAGGAGGGGTGGTAGAACTGCTTTTATCTGAAAGTTGATATATCTCCAGTATTGCCTTTTCGCGCTATGTCTCTCCCGCTATAGTTGCAGCATCTGCGAGTTTTGATATCCCATTCATGAAAATTTAGGAATCATTTAGTAGCTTTGTTTTTCTTTTGCCTCCCTTTAGTGTTAGCCTGCCCATTTTCTTTGATTCTTGTGGTGCAATCATAGATATTATAGAAAATGACAGGATTTTGGGGACAGAAGCTATTATATGTGTAAACATATTTGGAGAACATGTGATAATTTTAAGGGAAAAAGGTTAAAAAATTACTTATGTGCTATACGAAATTGAGAAAATTTACTCTCCGTTTTACTTTGGACCGTCGCGAAATGTCTCAAATCTGCCGTTCCTACTAACGGTCGTTCAGCTGGGATTGAAACAATTTGCTCTTTGCTGACTGGCTGCCAATGTGGACATTTCTCTTTATTCTTTGTTAGTTACCTATTGTCCTCTTCATTACTTGAAGCAAGGTTCACTTTTCTCTAAATATATTATCTCTCTAAATTTTTACTTTTTCAATATTTACAAGAAAATAAAGGAAAATACCAAAAGAATGGTGTCTCTTTTTTGTTCCTATTTCCAAATAGAAAAAATAGAGAACATAGTTACCATTCGACATGCGCAATGGTTGCCCACCCTTGGTCTCAGTGGAGACAAAAAGTACTAGGTGATTTCTTCTCATATGTCTAAATTTTAGTGCATAGAATTATCTAATAATTGTGTTGGGGGAGATAACAGCTACCCGGTAGAATTAATTGCCTGCCCTTGGTGAAAATATTAGATATCTATTTGGGATTTTAACACAAATAGCCAGAACAAAGACTTTAAACTCATCATATTTTAGTAGCTATAAAAGCTTGTCATTAAGAGCAGTAGATAATATAAAGTTAAATTATCCAATGTATCGTTCTTTTTTCAACAGATTAAAAGAGAAGTGTTACAAAAAAATGAAACATTCGACGAGGGTGCTTGGTTTTGGTACAAAAAACCCCCCATAGTTATCAATTATGATTGGCATTGCCCTTATTAGACTACATGAATCAAAATATGTATCAATACACAACACAAAACAAGGATTTCACTTGCCATAGTACTTTGAGCAGACAATCGCATGATTTTCAAATTAGACCGATAATTCAGTTTTCGATACGAGAATGCCATCACTATCTGCATATAACCATTCTCCTTCACGAATCAACATCCCCCCAATATAAACAGGAACATGTTTTTCACCATGGCCTTTCTTGCTCGATTTCTGAGGGTGCGATGCCAATGCACGAACCCCAATGTCACAGCCATTAATCTCGTCTACATCACGAATGCAGCCATTAACTACAATACCTGCCCAACCCATATTCTGCGCTAATTGTCCTAAGTTCCCGCCTACTAGAGCACATCGCATGCTCCCTCCACCATCTATTACCAGAACTCGTCCTTCGCCTCTAGTTTCAAGAAGCTCCCTGACTAACACATTGTCCTCAAACACCTTAAGGGTTGTAATGGGGCCAGAGAAAGCTCGACTTTGCCCGTATATCTGGAAGATAGGTGGCAAAACTCGTAGATCGCCATTTGACAGTAGCCCTGCATTTACATCACAAACTTCTGCTGTTGCCAAGGATGCCATGTATTCTCCTGGAAACGTGACATATAAATGTTCGAAATTGAACTAGTTCATTTCTCTGGCCTGGAAACCCCCAAACACCAGGCATTATATATCAAATGACACAAACATTTGCGTTCGAAATTTCAATGCAATTGATGCTATTATACCTTATTTGCCAGCTTGAAGAACAAAGATCAGAAGGACGGATCAGAACAAAAAAGTCTACAACAATAACAACAACCTAGTGTAATCCCACAAGTGGAGTCTGGGGAGGGTAGTGTGTACGCAAACCTTATCACTACCTTATGAAGATAGAGAGGTTGTTTCCGAAGACCCTTGCTCAAGGAACAGTAAACTAAATCAATAAACCAGAACAAAAAATCTCTAACACTAAAATTCTATCTTCATTGCAAATTTGTAAATCTGCTAAGTAGGAGCCACAAAGATATTGAAGCCACTTCTAAATTCTTCATTTAAATCATCGATAAGTTGCCAGAACCCACAAATTTTGGCATTACAAGAACAGCAATAAGGAAAGGCAGTTGGCACAAGTTAATTTGACATGAACCTATCCAAGGGCCTAAACAATGAGGCAAAAGCAAAACATCAACACCAGAAGGCAGTTCACATGATCGAAAAGGTTGAATATGGTTTAAAAGATTAGAGCAGCCAGGAATTTATAAATATTGGGAACAAGGGGCTCATAAAAATTATATCTTGAATCAAGAACCGTAGTGAATCTATGCTATATCTACCATAAAATCAGCTTCCTAATCTCACTTCCATTGCCTCAAATCCTTGAAATTGCATGGCACTTACTCAGGACGATGTGAAACAAACCTAGATCAACAATGATATCAAACTTCTTATGAACAAGACCTCTACATGCCAATAAAACTTATAGCAGGGCACTTCCTTTAAGGAAATGGTAGATAAAATCTACACGTCCTCGGTGAGAACTTCAGTTGATTAATATAACACATGATACTAAATGTGGAATACCATCAAAAATTTACTTTCTGATGGCATTATGCAAAATATAGATTTGTGAGGGAGACCAAATCAGGGTAATATCTTACTAGGATACAAGCAATATAAGCACACTAAGAAAGAAATGCTACAATACTATATCTTTCTCCATCCTTTTAGATTATGGTCATGGTTTTCTATACAAGTACAAGAGAACAACCCCATCAAAGAGTCAATCCATTAAGCGCGCAGAATCAGCATTTGTCTGTAAAAGTGAGCATCTTTTGGGTCTTCTACACCCGCATACTTATCCAGCGCGCAACTGAGTTTAAATGCTACTAGTTTGAGTCCAAAATAAATGACTTTTTCGCCTTTCAAATTTGGTACCAAATAAGTCTCATTCCTCTAATAATGATCTATGCAACTTTCTAAAACGTCTTTCCATACTTATTTATATTAACTAAGAGTAGATAAACAATAATTTAGTCAAATAACCTTAATAACTAGCTTTCATTGATTTTCTTAATAGGTGACTTAAAGCCTTAAAAGACACTTACTTTGGACAGGAGGGAGCACTATTCTTGTCCCCATAAGCAACAAGCAAAGCTAAGATTTGAAGTTTATGGTCCTTAACTTGGCACCGACCCATAACTCATTTTAGTTACTGGGTTCGCTATTAAATATTACACATATTTAACGAATTTCCTAATACTAATATATGATCTAAGCAAAAACTACTAGTTCTGTCCGAACCGTACCTAATATTGTAGTTGCACCCCTGAGCAACACACATAAGAATAACAATTACAGCTCTAAAATTCTACTCTATGTAACTCATTTCAAAGACGACAAATTGGAATTGTAGCCTAATAGCAATAACTCAGAATACAAGCTCAAATCCCACCACAAGCATCAAAGAATATGGAATATTTCCTTTATTAAACAATTGAGAGTGTGAGGTGGAACATATTGTTTGTTAATTCAACAAGTACACACATAGTAATACTCTGGTCCACAATTAGCACGCCCATTAAGAAAATACTAAATTATATAAAAAAAAATACCTAGTATGCCCTTAGTTAAATATTTAATGTGAGGAGTAAGAAATTTTGTTAGAGATATGTAAATCACGATAATTTTGTAAAAACAAATTTTTTTTTTTATTAAATAAATGAATATTTATTTTGGACTAAAATAAAAAAACAAATAAGTGAAGGGAGGAAGTAGTAGTAAGTAATTAAACAGTCAGCCACCGCTACTATTTCAGATTCCAATAATGCAAATTCACAGAAACGAGAATTAGTTAAACAATTAAAGATGATTATCTCTATGCATACCCATTAAGAAACGAAGAAAAAGAAAAACTTTACCTTTGATCAGTACGAATAGTACTACTTTGTATTTGAGCTTTATCGAATTCCGAAAATGGAGCTTCTGCTGGATTGTGGCGTATTGCAAATTTCGAGGGCGATCTAATCTATATATATATACTTGATATATATACTTCTGCTGAATTTTACGTAAAATTCGTAAAATTTATTATATCCGACCATTATAATAAATGAATTATTGTCGGCATTGTTTATATCAGACCGTTCATTGGATGACGGCATCTCATCTTCTAGGTCGTTGTGCCATGTCGCTGAAGTAGTTGGATAGTATGGCTATTTTTTTAATTCATTTTCTTCTTCTTTTTTCAAATTGCTTTTATTTAAAATAAAGAAATTTAAAACCGCAGCCGGAGAGAGTGGAAAGGAAAAAGAAATAAAATACTTAAGAGGCAAGCATAGCCACGAATACTATACTAGTGGCCTATCATTCAATGGAAATTATAAGGGTGTGTTTGGTTTCAATGAAGTGCTTTTTTTAAATAAATAAAAAAAGAGTGATGATCTTACTTATTTATTGGAGTTTAGTAAGTAAAATAAAAAATATTATCTTAAAAATATTTATATAATATAAACAAATATAGTGGGTGTGAGAAGTGGGGGTCGGGTAGTTTCGACGGATAAAGGTAGATTCAGAATTTAAATTCTATTAGTTTAATTTTAAGGTTCTTAGTATTAAATTTATTATATTTTAAAAATTATGAATTCAGACTTACTATTTGTTATAATTTTAGGAATGGACTTCGTCCATTTGGACTAAACCCATGCCCCTAACCATTCGTACTCTGACCAAATTTTACGTATAAATTTATGTTCCACGTAAAAAAAAAGAATTAAGTTCAAAAGAACCTGACGCTGCTGCCTAATTTCGACCATAGCCATTTTTACGATTTCTCTTCTCAATCGCTGATTTTATGAAAATCTGGCACCAACCAGCAGCTATATACTGTGATACTGGAGATGCTTTAATCGAGATGGTCAATCATGGGTTGGCGCATTCTTTTCTTTTCTAATTTTTTCTATTATAAGAAATTACTAATCTGCATCTTTCCTTTGTTTTAGATGCGAAAATGTTTTTCTATTCTATAACCAAGAAAACTTCGAGGAACAATGGCTCAAGGTTCGAACTCGACAGATAACAGTGACTTCCGAGCTTCGAACTCATGGCATGCATCTAATCCATACATTATGTGCTACACTCTTACCACTAGACCAAAGCCTTGCGAGCATATCAAAATTGCTGCAACATATTGCCACCCATAAATTTCCGTTGCTGAGAGCACCAACCCGACCAACCAAAAGCTTCACTTCCCACCAGATACTTCTAGCCAGCACTGTCCACTGCCCCAAGTAGGGTCTGGGGAGGATAGTATGTACACAGCTTTACCCCTACCCTGGAAGGGCAGAGAGACTATTTTCAATAGACCCTCAGCTAAAGAAAAGATGGAATAAGTACTGATAGCAAGTAACAACAATACAAGATATTTAGAAAACTAAATCCAAGATAGCAAAAGAGAATATCAAAGAAGTACTGATAGCAAGTAATAACAGTACAATAGTTTAAGCAAGAAACAAAAATTAAAATTGACTCAATATGCCGGGAATAGAATGAGAGGAGAAACAGTCCAAGCAGTTAAGAGTAAAACATTGAGAGTATTTTCAGTAATACTGAATATTTCTGCTTTAAAATCTGTCTATATCGAATATTGTTTGCCTTAGACTTGCATCTAAAACAGTAAAGCAAACTTTTTGTACAAAATGTGAGATATCAGATTACACAGGTATACCTACCGACAACTACTCGGTATAAATCAAACCCAAGAAATATAGAGTTTTGATTTTAAAAAAAGTATGATATGAAGACTGAAGAAATTAGGCAACCTTAGAGGCAGTCCAGAAAAGGGAAGGCCAGAAAGCTTGAAGGGAACTCAAACTTCTGCATGCAGCCAAAAGAACTGTACAGTCGAGTTGCATATTACCAGCTGACGCCCAAATCATCAGCAAATATTAACTAATTGTTGAAGCTTGCTTTTCATACTCAACCCCTTCGTGCAATTAATGACCATTTGTTACCATCTGTTTGTCATTGTCTTCTTTTCTCTGCTGGTAGACTGACTTTCGGCGACTCACTTCATTTCTGAGGGAGTTATAATGTTCAGAAAATTCCTTAACACAAATCAATTACTTCTAAACAAATTGCATTTCAGACTTTATATTGCTAGCATGATATCGCTCTTCAGAGTTATTTGATGGGTTGTATTTCTTGTGTTCTCTCAGTTAATTATTGCAAGATAGACATATAGAAGGAGGAAAGTTAGATGTATCCCAGATTTGAACATAGACAACAAGGGCAGAGGCCATAAGAAATTCATCAACCTAAATAATGCTACAATGCTTGCTACCAACTTTTCTTCTTCCAAAGTAAAACATGCAAGTGAGTAGTTAAGAAAGAAAGCATACATCATTGCAGAAAAGCAGGTATAATACCCAAAAAAAATAGCTGTTTTGCCTCCAGAGCCCTAGCTCAATAATGTTTCAAAGATGTCCTAGACATATTGTAATTCATGCTATACTTTTAAGGTTTAAGCCATAATTAAGCAAATATTGAAAGAACTCATCACTTAGTTCACATTTTCTGTCTCTTTTCTATATATATGGCAAGCCCCAGTTTATGTCCCACATAAAATAAAATTTCCGGTTGACTTCCAAAACACAAAGTCGTTGTATTCGACATTTTTCCATTTTTACATTCCCTCCAAAGAAAGCTGCTAGATAATATTATAAAAATAAGGAAAGAAAACGTCCCATCAAAAGAACAGTTTTACCTTGAATCAATACCACATAGAACCAAACAAAATGCTGGATCACAGCGAGAGGGAACACATAAGACACGTCAGGTAAACTATGGATAGAAGAAACAAACCTGATAGACTCTTCGATTGACTTATAACGCAGAACAGCAACAATTTTGCGCTTTCTTTCTCGATTCAAGTCTCCGCCACGCTTGATCACGGGCAATTGTTTGATTCCTTTGGCCTCGATTAGCTGCTTTGCAATTGCTAGGTCGGTGTCAGGATAACAAGTTATAAGTCCACATTCTCGCCCACGATAGTTTATCCCTCTTGTGCATATAGACGAAACAAGACAAGTATCTGCCTGTAGACAGGTTAAAGAAACCAATAATACTATTAAAGAGAGAAACAAAGGAGCAAAGATTACATAATGAAAAAGGAGAAAAAGAAAATTAATTGAAAAAGGAACTTGCATACTGAGAACCAAAATAAATTTATTTATGGTGGCATTCAATATATACGTACATCTTTAAGTGCCAAATCCCTGTCGGAAGAATCCCATGAGTTGTTAAACAAACTACGTTTGATGTCACCATATGTTAAAATTCCTTCCAGACAATTTTCAGTAGTAACCACAATAACAAAATTCTGTCGACTATCATGCATGCATTCTAATGCTTCTTTCACAGTTTGGTTTGGAGCAACCTTCAAATAATCATTTGACATAACCTGAGAAACCTGGTCATCGAAGGAAACAGTTTAGAAATTGAAACAGAAGGACCAAGATGAAATGATAGTCCAACAGAAAGAAAAAAAAGGTAAAAACTCATGATAGGTGAACTTTGCCACATTCCAGAGGTAGAATGAAAAGATCATACCTTAAGATCTTCCAGAATTAGGCCTTCATCAAGAGATTCATGACTGCTTCGACATCCAATTACAGCTAGTTCCAAGTCATTCCTCTCACCTGTGTGGCTCCAAACATTCCCTTCATTCTTCTCATCATCTGGTGAAAGGACAGAGTATCCTTTTGACCCATACTTGGAATCTGATGCCTCCACTTCCTTTGCCTGGATTGTTACAGAAGGCACCCAAATTGCCAGTCCAACAGCACCCTGTTCACATAATTTAAAACGCATGTTAATCGCAGTCATCATTTCAACAAGCACTAAAACTTCACCCAAAATAACATAGGAATAACAAAATGCTGTCAGATCAAAAGAAGATAAATGAAGTCCACTTGACTAGCCGACTAGATAGTCTGGTATAGTAACTACAGTTTAAAGACAACAGCTCCAGTTAGAGATAAAAGCGAGAAAAGATGACAGAAGTGAAGAAGAGCTCTACCTTCTAATCATCTTTCTCCACCTGTTACATGGACTAAGGTGTAAAGTATCCAACACAGGTATGGATCTAAGTGTCGGATTCATAGTCACCTAAAATTAGAATCCAAGGGACATGAAAAATATATACTGTTATTTGGTGTACTACTTACTATTATGCCTAATGCCTAAAAAGAGCTCTTAAAATGAAACTAAAAATATCAGTTGAGAATTTCGTTAGACAATTAATTATACTCTGGCAATGATTTTTTGATAAATTCCAAAAAACTTTCTTTGTTCGATAAGTTACTTCAACAATTTTACACAAATGGTATTAACAGGATTGGCAGTGACAACATTTGCAGGTGATGAAAGGTCAATTGAACATAAGTGGTTTAGTACTAAAAGTCTTTATTTAGAATTAAAGGCCAATTAAACTTTCACTAAAAATTAGGGCACTTGAAGATAATTTACCTATTAACAATTTAGATGAGCATATATGTAATAGTCTATGTAGTATATAGTAAAGCTCCACATTGAATAAGTTCACAATAGTAGTTGTAAAATATGCCTATAGAGCTTTTCTGCCTTTGCCAATTGTCTTCACGCTTTCCATCAATTCTTACTTCTCACCCCCAAAATAAATGAGGCTTCATATCCTATTGAATTATGAATTTACGCTGACCTTCTTTTCTTCATTTTTTGTTAAAATCTTTTTCTGGGGCTAAGTACCTAGACTGACAAACATCCGTCACAGAGAATGCTTCAATTAAGCAAAAGCTATGCAATTACCATATACAAAGGTCTTTTAATAATTAACTGAACAATGCAATTTTTACATTGATACCAACTAGAGCTTGTGAGTCCTTGGGCAGTAAGACTAACCATGAGGGGAAGCAATATTCTATAATCTTTTGTCAACTCAAATAAAAGCAGGACTGAAGTCAAAGGCACTGAACAAACTGACGCCAATGTAGCAGCCATTCCCACCTGCATTGGTTAAATAATGCAATAGAAAGAGTTACTTTCTGAAGTCCAATCATGTCTAGAAAATATTTGGTTGTAAGATGTAAAAGTAGATGATCTGACCAGCGCGTACGCCTGCGGCTGAGCAATAGCAGTAGTCCCTGGAATAGCTGAATTGATTAATTCCCCAGCTGAACCTCCAA